CCTCGGGACACGCCTCCTCTAGAGGAGATCGACCTCACCTCTGTTCCTGCTGAATACCGCGACCTGGCGGCACTCTTTAGCAAACAACGCGCCTCGTCTCTCCTTCCTCATCGTCCCTATGACTGCTCGATTGACTTATTACCTGGCGCCCCCTTGCCGTCAAGTAGACTTTATAATCTTTCTGGTCCCGAAAGGGAATCTATGTCCAATTATATTAATAAATCCCTTGCCTCAGGTATTATTAGACCCTCGACCTCCCCTTTGGGAGCCGGTTTCTTTTTCGTTTCTAAGAAAGATAAAACTCTCAGGCCATGTATTGATTACCGCGGATTAAACAACATAACTATAAAAAATAAGTATCCGCTCCCCCTCATTGACTCGCTGCAGGAACAATTACAGTCGGCTTCTTGCTTCACTAAACTCGACTTAAGAAACGCTTACCACCTCGTGTGTATTAAGGAGGGCGATGCGTGGAAAACAGCTTTTCGCACTCCTTTGGGTCATTTTGAATATTTAGTTATGCCCTTTGGGTTGACCAATGCCCCCGCGGTTTTTCAGGCGCTCATCAACGATGTCCTGCGCGACTTTATTGGTAATTTTGTTTTCGTCTACCTCGACGATATTCTTATTTTTTCTCGCGACCCCTCTCAGCACACGGCTCACGTCCGCACGGTTCTTCAGCGGCTACTGGAGAATCAGTTGTTCGTTAAGGTGGAGCAGTGTGCGTTTAATACCTTCACCGTCTCCTTCCTAGGTTTTATTTTTGAGGGCGGACGTTGTCGAACCGACCCCGAGAAGACCAGGGCGGTAGACGACTGGCCGACTCCCGAGTCCAGGAAACAGTTACAACGTTTCCTAGGCTTCGCAAATTTTTACAGGCGGTTTATTAAAGATTATAGTCGTGTCGCCGCCCCCCTGTCTCAGCTCACTTCCACCGCCCAAGCCTTTCACTGGACCCCAGAGGCTGAGGCCGCCTTCAAGAAACTCAAGTCCCTCTGTTCCTCCGCACCCATCCTCTACCATCCAGACCCTACGCACCAGTTCATTCTGGAGGTGGACGCCTCCGACACTGGGGTAGGGGCGGTCCTTTCCCAGCGAGCACCCTCGGACAAGAAAGTTCATCCCTGCGCCTTCTTTTCCCGACGTCTCTCCCAAGCAGAGCGCAACTACGACGTGGGCAACCGCGAGCTGTTGGCGGTCAAGCTCGCGTTGGAGGAATGGCGGTACTGGTTGGAAGGCACTGAGATCTCTTTTTTGATTTGGACCGACCATAAAAATTTGACTTACCTTAGGAACGCCAAGCGTCTGACCCCCCGTCAGGCCCGTTGGTCGCTTTTTTTTTAATAGATTTAATTTTGTCCTTACTTTCCGTCCGGGCTCTAAAAACATCAAGCCTGACACCCTGTCTAGGCAGTTTGCCCCTCCTGACTCGCCTGAGAGCTCCAATAACATTGTTCCCTCCACCTGTATTGTCGGCTCCCTCTACTGGCCCATCACCACTACCGTTCAGGAGGCCCTTCTCTCCGAACCCGATCCTGGTGGTGGTCCCCCCGGTACCCTCTTTGTTCCTTCCAGCGTGCGGTCCGACGTGCTCCAGTGGCTCCACTCAAACAAACTTTCTTGCCACCCTGGTGTCAACCGCATGCTCGCTCTCACTAGGACTCACTTCTGGTGGCCCTCCATGTCCAAAGACATTAAGGACTTTGTTTTGGCCTGTCCTGTCTGTGCCAGGAACAAGTCTGGTACACAACCTCCGGCTGGCCCTCTGCTTCCCCTCCCGACCCCTAGTCGCCCCTGGTCCCACATCGCCCTCGATTTCGTGACCGGCCTTCCCCCATCTAACGGCAACACCACCATCCTCACGGTTGTTGACCGTTTCTCTAAGGCTGCTCACTTTGTTCCCCTTCCTAAGCTCCCCTCTGCCCTCGAGAACGCTCACCTTCTTACCCTTCATGTTTTCAGGCTCCATGGGATCCCTTCGGACATCGTCTCCGACCGAGGCCCGCAGTTTATCTCCCAGGTCTGGCACTCCTTCTGCAAGTCGCTCGGGGCGTCCATTAGCCTTACCTCCGGCTACCATCCTCAGGCTAACGGGCAAGCTGAACGCTGCAATCAGGAGTTGGAGTCCACCCTGTGTTGCCTGGTCGAGTCCAATCCTTCGTCCTGGAGCCAACATTTGGTTTGGGTGGAACACGCCCACAATTCCCACCGTTCCTCTGCCACCGGTATGTCCCTCTTCGAAGCCTCCCTTGGGTACCTTCATCCTCTTTTCCCCAGTCTTGAGCTCGACTGCGCGGTCCCATCCGTGCAGCATCACTTCCGGCGTTGTTGTCGCATCTGGCGCCAGGCCAAGGCGGCCCTCCTTAGGACCGCGGCCCAGGCTTAACGGATCGCGGACCGCCACCGTTCAGCAACAATCGCCTACCAGGTCGACCAGCAGGTTTGGTTGTCCACCAGGGACATCAAACTGCCCCCGCTTCATTGGCCCCTTCCCCATTACCCGCATCATTAATGCCTCTGCGGTCCGTCTCCAACTCCCCAGGGCCATGAGGATTCACCCGACCTTCCACGTCTCCCAGGTCAAACCCGTCTCCCTCAGTCACTTGTGCCCCCCTTCTGACCTCCCACCGCCGCCCCGCCTGATCGACAACCACCCTGCGTTCACCCTCAGATCCATCCTGGACGTGCAACGCAGGGGTAGGGTTTTCCAGTACCTGGTCGATTGGGAGGGGTACGGTCCTGAGGAGAGGTCATGGATCCCCAGGTCCTTTATCCTCGACCCCAGCCTCATCTCCAGATTCTTCATAGACCACCCCGAGAAGCGCCTCAGGTCGCCTGGAGGCGATTCTTGAGGGGGGGGTACTGTAAGGGTCCCACTGCCTGCAGCCTGCCTTGCTGATGGCCGCTGATTAACAACACCTGGCGGTCATCAGCCTGATGAGCCTCTCCATCTACAAAAGGCTGCAGCCCAGTGTGACTCATCGCTGGAGCATATCACCTCTCATGGTATAGTACTGTTGAGCTAGATATGTCTAGGTGAAAAGAATTTGTTCACCTGTGTTCTCTTTTCCAGTTTCCTGGTTCCTCGTGTTTTTGGATCTCCTCGTGACCTGATCTGGATCCCTCGGCCTGTCAGGTATTCCTCGTGCCATTTTTGCCTCCAGTTGCCAGCCTTCCTCGTTCCCTTGGACCCTCGTTGGATTCCCCTC